CTGTCCTCTGGTCCTCCTCTGACCCGACCCACAGGTGAGCAGCATCTGCAGCCACGGATTTCACATCTACTCAGCCTGCGTCAGAGCAGACGGAGCATGATATGGATGACCTCAGGGATGTGGCACAGCCAAATGAGAAGAGCTGTCCTCTTTGTCCCCGCAGTCCCACGGCCCTGTCCCCCAACCACTTCCTGCTTCAACCTCAGGGCCAGGGAACAGCACTTGGACCTGGGAGAGTTTAGCAGCTTCCCCTATTGACTTTCGTTGAGCAGAAGAGTGTGGTTGGGGCGGGGCCTGGGCGGCTTCCTTCAGCCCGCGGCTGCCTCCAAGGCCCCAGATTCACACTGCAGCTCGCCTGAAGACAGCTGCCAGCTTTCCCCCGACGTCTCTTTCCAGGGTGAATGCCTAGGCTCGTGAACATTTCCTGAACTGGACATGCTGGTGAGACCCACTGCCCTGTTCCAAGAGGTCTCTTCTGAAACATGAAACAAAACATCACCACCGCATCTGTAGAAGATGCCTTTACTGATGACGGCCCTTGTGCACGGACACATCCAATCTGTCTTCGCAGTGAGCGTGAACAACTGCTGACTGCTTTCCAGATGAGGAAACGGGCTCAGAGGGATTCTGAGATGCTTTGCCCGAAGTCTCATCGCTGGTTTCAGAAGAGTTGAAACTTGTCCAAAGAGCTCCTGTGTGCTTTCCAGAAAAGCACAGAGTGAACCTATGACCACCTGCAACTGTGACGTTGAGAACTGAATACAAGACTCCAGGCAAGCATAGAGTGAGACACTCATCACGCTGCCCCCAAAGCAGCATGGGGTGCCCTCGACCCACACTTGCTTGCTTCCTTTTTGATGAGTATCGCTACCAAACCACGAATCCTCAAACTCCCACTCCGCTAGCTGCTTTTAGGGACATGATGGCTCCATCACAGCTGCCCAGACTGGCTCCGTACACTCTAGGGGGTGGTGATTCAACATTGGGGCTCTGCATGCACAAGGCCGGCCACAAATCCAGCTCTCCACCTCAGTTTCTCAACCTATAAATGGACAAACCCATTCCCTACAGTTTCTGAGTCCTGGTGTGAACAAGCAGATAGAGTGCCCGGTAGAGGAGGTGCTGAGCAGGCCTTGCCGTCCCCGTCACACTCCGGCCGCTGGCAGCACATCACTCAGATACACACGCTTCCAACTGCTGAACCAATCAGGGCAAAGGCTGACACACTCATGAATCAGGAGCCGTGGGTTGTGTTGCTGGGCCGTTTTCAGGCTGAACAGTGGTGACAGGCCAAGGGCCCCAGGTTCAACTCCTGACTCCACTACCACCTGCAATCACGCTACGCTCCAGCCCCCTGCTCGGGACCCCAGGAAGGACAGTGCCTCTCCTTTCAGGGTTCGATGAAGAGTCAATGCCATGGGGTGTGGGAACACCAGGGGGTGTTTAGGGCTTCATAAATGTCATCATTCCAATCACAACAATCCTCAGCCCTAATTCTCTCATCTTACTCCCATTAGTATCTTCAGCAATCTTGTCAAAATGTTCTCTTGAATCAAAACATACCGTGCAATACTGTTTTCTATACTTTCAAAAGGGACTGACACACTGGTGGCTATGAGCTCACCTTGCTGCCCCCAGGGAAGTATCACCTCCCTGAGGAAGGGCCATCTTCCTGCCTCGCCTCCTTTAAGTCCGTGCTGCGTGGACGCGTGTCACGAGGGCCAGCCCTGACCAGGCCTGAGGTTCGCGTCCTGGTCTGTCCTTGCATCATTTATTCTCCCCGTCAGGTGCCCAGTTCTCTCACACTGTCCTGAGAACCAGTCTGAAAAACAAACTGCACACCAAGCTGAGGATCAGGGGCAATCCCTCCAAGGGGTGCTGAATTTTGAGAAGTTCCCAAACAGAGGGACTATGATAACCCAAAGGAAGGCACTAGAAACAGTAGGTTCTTAGGGCCTGAGAGCCAGATATTTCTAATTTATTTTTGCTGAGGAAGATCCACCCTGAGCTAACATCTGTGCCAATCTTCTTCTATTTTGTATGGTCACCGCCTCAGCATGGCCTGACGAGTAGTGTAGGTCAGTGCCCAGGAACCCAACCGAGGCCACCAAAGCGGAGTGCACCCAACTTAACCACTAGGCCACAGAGCCAGCCCCAGGACCCAGATATTTTGAGCAGAGGATTCAATCCCTTTACCCCCAAAATACCCTCAACTACAATCTGTCACCTGCTTCATCTATGCAGAAAAGCAGCTCTCATTTCACCAAAATATTACCAATGACATAACTTGAAAATATGCTGTTTTTTTTCTTTTGTGACACAGGTATAGTTATTCTTTAATATAAGAAAATAATTCCTATTGCTGTTTTGATAAGGCCCGATAAATGCTGACATACACATGAGCTAACATTTAACCAGGTGGCTAGACAAATAATAACAGTACAATTAAATACGAAAAAACGTCTGCTGGCCAGGATTTTTGGACCCCGAATCAGAGCAAGTGTAGGGCCCATCACCAGAAGAGGGAGTTGAGGCAAGTGAGGAGAAGGGTCAAAGGCCGCCAGCGACGAGTCCGTGTGAAGCAGCACGCTCTGGACGCACGGCATCCGTGACGTGACACCACCACTGCAGCCCATGTACAGAGCATTCCTCCAAGTCTGTCAGAAAAGAAACACTTGGTGACAAGGCAACTTTTTGACAGCCAGAAGAGAAAAGGACTAGACTGACAGGAAAACCAGGTTGACTTTTTTTGTGAGGAAGATCAGCCCTGAGCTAACATCCGATGCCAATCCTCCTCTTTTTGCTGAGGAAGATTGGCCCTGGGCCAACATCCATGCCCATCTTCCTCTACTTTATATGGGACGCCGCCACAGCATGGCTTGACAAGGGGTGTGTCGCTGCACACCTGGGATCCGAACCTGCGAATCCTGGGCTGCCGAAGCAGAGCACGCAAACTTAACAACTAAGCCACCGGGCCGGCCCCAAACTAGGTTTACTTTTTATTACTATTATTATTGAAAATAACACAAACTTGAAATGATCCTTTAAATAACAGAAAAGAGTCCCCGGAAATCTGAGTCTTATTTCGGCCATGATCACAACTCCTCAGAACCACTGTCACTGGAGTGCCCTCCCTCTTGCAGAGAAAAGTTACAGATGAGCCAGCGCTCAGTTACTTCCAGTGGGTCTCCTGCTCTGAGATAACGTGGACTGTTCTCCCCTGAACTGTACCTGTGCTCAGTCACCGCGCTCTCAGTCTTGGATGACCTCATCTGAACACAGGGACACACCCGGTGCGGTTCCAGCGCACGTCAGCTTGGTGTGGCAACAAGGTTTCGTGTAAGGACACGCAGACACTCTGCGTGCTGGGGAAAAACAAAAGGAGCTGCTCACTGAGCCGCCCATGCAGGCGTCCCTCCCCAAGGAGCAGGGCCCCCAGCACCCAGCTGCTGGCCCTGGCCCTGCACAGAGCATTGGGACCAGGCCCCAGCAAGACCGCTCTGCTGAAGAGAAAACTCGGGGAAAGGCAAACATCTATACAGACCCTGGGCAGACACTTCTCTCACACTACAGTGTAGAAGTCTGTGACACCTGAAGTCACCACAAGATGAGTCTTCACTTTCAGATACACTCCAGTGCCGTCATCGAAACTCGTTAGTAAATGAAATGGTGCTCAATCAGCAAGACCATGAATCCAAGTTAGGAGAGACAAGTCATTCAGCATGTTCTGAATATTTTTTCCCCATTAACATAATTATTTCCTGCTCAGTTAAAAGGGAAGTGGCATTTGAACACGTCACAGACAGGAGAACGGCCGTGAAAGCTTTTAGGGCTATGAAAACAGGACCGGCACTTTATTTGAAGTTGCCCTGCACGAAATGAACAGTGTGTTTATCAGCAAGCCAGCATGCACCCCAGCAGCCAACACCTCCAGGGAGCCGAGCGTGAACTTTATTAAGCCCCTTTCATATGACGCGATCAGCTGAGCATCGTCGTGACTCTGCGGGGTCAGCAGGAGGTGATAAAGAACTCACCTCAGTGAGTTCTCACCCAGTACACACAGTGAGGAGGGCCGCCCACATGCTTGCCTCTTTCAACATTTTTAGAATTGAGATGGAGAGCTCAATTTCCCAAATTAAAAAATAAACGTTCCAGCTGCTTTAAAACTTCGCAGTCCACATGCTGAGAGCACGTGGCGCCGAGCGCGGGAACGCTGGGAACAGGTGGTCACCTGCACACCCAGGCGGACTTCCTGCAGCGAGGCACAGCTGCAGCATTCGGGGGACACGGGGCACTTTCAGGGTCGGGGTCGGCAAATTACAAGACACAAGGCCCAGGAAAGCGGGGCTCCTCCAGCGCCGCCAGACTCAGCCCTGGGTGCAGCCTCAGAAGGCATCTGGTTTGATGAAATGAATACAGAAGAAAGCTAGCTCAAATTAGTTTCTCCCTTTTGCACACTGAATTCTACAATTCCCTCTGCCCCCCACACTTCCTATCTGTGCCCCCTCACCCAGGCAAGGCTACCTAAACTCAGACATGCCCCGGAGCGCCTCCACTTCTAGTCGCTTTGCCTGGCCAGGGGCAGAAAGGCATGATGTTTCTGTTAGAAGAGAAAAAGAGTCGTCATGTTCACCTCTTTTCTTTACTGAAATCAGGGACAAGTAGCTGGGGGAAGGGAGTGAGAGCCAGGTCCACTTCCCTCTTAATCCATGACCCCCAAGCCATTTCGATGCACCAACCTTGGCTGCACCATTTTCTTTCTGGGTTAGGCCAGGGGGCCAGGCCACTTGCTTGGAGGTCTTGGAAGGACAGCAGTTCCAGGCCTCTGGCTGGCTAACAAGGCCTTTGGCCCCAGTCTCTGACTGGATTACACACCATCTTCCATGGCTGACTGTACATTCACAGGATGGAGAGAATCAGCATGGAAAGGGGGTTTCTTCCAAACCCAACAGGCAATGATTTAATCAACTCAAAAAAGAATGGGGTAAGAGAAAAATTTTCAAGTTTTCTTTTCACTGATTTTATTTATATTTGGTCATCTTCACTCAGAATATCTATCAATTTCTTTTTCAGTTTAAGATGCATGTGTGTGCACATGTGTGTATAATCCCTTGGAAACTTTATTTGGTATAATTTCACATTTTTTGGTATATAGAAATAATTTTATTTTCATATTGCAGCTCAGTAGACATACAATCAATATTATTTCCTAGGATGTGCAATATATAAATAATTCACATTAAAAAACTAGGAACAGAAAGCCTCATATGCAGGAAATATTTAAAAATGCATCCCTAATTTTGAATCTGAGTTGCTGACAGTATATATACACTACCAGCTTATAAATATGAATGGATACGACATGACACACATTTGAACAAATAACACATATGGGGCCACTCCAGGGGCCTCCTTCACCACACGGGTAACTCTTCACTTTGGTCGTTGGGGTTCCAGGTGCTGAGGCACACGTGGATCTGAAAGGTGCCTCCAGAAGTGCGTTTACTACACGTGCATGTCAAAGAGCTGCCCCTACTCTCCTTTATAGCGAGGAGACCTCTTCTCTTTAAAAGCAAGAAGACCTTCCAGTCTGTCTTTTGTTGGAATAGTCTAAGAAGAACAAAACATTACGTTATCTATACCATGAAGTAAAAACAGCCGTAAAAATTAAACAAGTTTTATCTAAGAAAACTGATTAGGAGACAATCTAAAATTTTGAAATCTACTAGTCATTTCAACAATTCTAATTATGTGACCAAATTTATCACTCCAACTCCAAATACGCTTTTTTCCCAAATATACTTTAGAAAAATTAAGACTTTATTATTTAGACAATTTTAAGTTTACAAAAAAACTGAGCAGAAAGTTCAGCTTTCCCACATACTCCCTCAAGCCCCCCACTATTTCCCCTATTATTAACATCCTGCATTACTGTTGGACATTTGTTACAACTGATGAACTAATATCAATACATTATTATTAACTATGGTCCACAGTTTACATTAGGGTGCACTGTGACGTATATTCCATGGATTTTGAAAAATGTATAACATGACGTATCCACCATCACAGTATCATACAGACTAGTTTCACTGCCCTAAACATCCCTTATGCTCCACCTATTCATCCCTGCCCCGCTGCCTTTTCCAGAACATCATATAGTTGGAATCATACAGTATATAGCCTTTTATATAGAAATCCTTCACTCAATAATACGCATTTAAGGTTCCTTAATGTCTTTCTATGCATTTAAGGTTCCTTAATGTCTTTCTCTGGCAAGATAACTCATTTCTTTTTATTGCCGATTAATACTCCGCTGTAGGACATACCACAGTTTATCCATCCACCTACTGAAGGACATCTTGGTTGCTTCCAAGTTTGGCAATTATGAATAAAGCTTCTATAAACATCCATGTGCAGGCTTCTGTGTGAACATAAGTTTTCAACTCACTTAGGTAAATATATAATAGCATGACTGCCGGATTATGTGGTAAGACTATGTTTAGCTTTGTAAGAAATGGCCAAATCATAGTATCTCATTTTTATTTGCATTTCTTAATGAAATACGATGTGGAACAGTTTTTCCTATGCTTATTTGCCATCTGTACACCTACTTTGGTGAGGTGTCTGTTCAGATGTTTTACCCACTTTTTAATGGGCTATTTCCTTATTGCTGAGTTTTAAAAGTTCTTTGCATGTTTTTGGATACAAGTCCTTTATCACACAGATGTTTTGTAAAGATTTTTTTCCCAGTCTCTGGCTTGTCTTTTCATTCTCTTCACAGATCTTTTGCAGAGAAGAAGTCGTTAATTTTAATAAAGTCAAACATCAATTCTTTCTTTCATGGATTATACTTTTGGTGTTATATCTAAAAAGTCATTGCCAAACCCAAGGTCATCTAGATTTTCTGTTATCTTCAAGAAGTTTTATAGTTTTTCATTTTACATTTAGGTCTACGACCCATTTTGAGTTAATTTTTGTGAAGGGTGTAAGGTCAGTGTCTAGATTCTATGTTTTTTGTACTTCAGTGTCCAGTTGCTTCAGCATTGTTTGTTTTCAAGACTATTCTTTCTCCATTGAATTGCCTTTGCTCCTTTGTCAAAGATCAGTTGACTACATTTGTATGAGTCTACTTCTGGGCTCCCTATTCTGTTCCAATAGATCCAAAGGTCTATTCCTTTGCCATTAACACACTCTTGATTACTGTAGATCTATGGTAAGTCCTGAAGTTGGGTAGGATCAGTCCTCCAACTTTGGTCTTCTTCCAATATTGTGTTGGCTAATCTGGGTCTTTGGACTTTCCATATAAACTTTAGAATCAGTTTGCCAATACAAACAAAGGAAGTTGCTGAGATTTTTATTGAGATTGCACTGAATCTATAGATCAAGTTGAGAAGAACTGACATCTTAATAATATTGAGTCTTACTATCCATGAACATGGAATATCTCTCCATTTATTTAGATTTTGATTTCTTTCACCAGAATTTTGTAGTTTTCCTCCTATAGATCTTGTGTATATTTTGTTAGATATGTACTTAAGTATTTTAATTTTTTTATGCTATCATAAATGATGTTGTGTTTTTAACTTCAAATTCCAATTCTTCACTGCTGGTATATAGGGAAACAATTGACTTTTGCATATTAACCTTATATCATGCAATCTTGCTCTAATTGCTTATTAGTCACAGTGTTTTTTTGTTGTTGATTCTTTGGGATTTTTCTACACAATCATGTCATTTATGAACAGAGAGTTTTATTTCTTCCTTTCCAATCTGTATAACTTTTATTTCTTTTTCTTGTCTTACTGCATTAGCTAGGACTTCTAGTAGATGTTGAAAAGGAGTGATGAAGGGGGACAGCCTTGCCTTGTTTCTGATCATTAAGTATGACATTAGCTGTAGGTTTTTTGTAGAAGGTCTTATCAAGTTGAGAAAGCTCCATCTAATTATAGTTTACTTAGAGTTTTTATCACGAATGGATGTTGGATTTTGTCAAATGTTTTTTCTGTATCTACTGACATGATCGTATAATTTTTCCCATTTAGCCTCATGTGATGGATTATATTAACTGATTTTTGAGTGTTGAACCAGCCTTGAGTTATCTGGAAAAAAATCCCATTTGGCTGTGGCAAATGGGATTTAATTCTTTTATACATTGTTAGTTTTGATTTGCTAATATTTTGTTGAGGATTTTTACATCTATGTTCACGACAGACAATGGGCTGTAGTTTTCCTTTCTTGTAATGTCTTTGGTTTTAGTACCAGGCCTCACAGAATGAGTTAAGAAAGTGTTCCTTCTGCTTCTATTTTCTGGAAAAGATTGTAGAGAACTGGTATAATTTCTTCCTTAAATGTTTGGTAAAATTCACCAGTGAAACCATCTGGGCCTGGTGCTTCCTATTTTGGAAGTTTATAAATTATTGATTTAATTTATTTAACAAACATAGGACTATTCAGATTATCCATTTCTCCTTGTGTGAGTTTAGTATATTGTGTCTTTAAAGGAACTGGTCCATTTCATCTATTCAAAAACAGAGAGTTGTTCACAGTATTCTTTCGTTATCCTTTCAATGTCCATGGGATCAGTAGTGATGGCCTTTCTTGCATTTCTGATATTGTGCATTTTTATCTTTTGTCTTTTTCCTTTGGTTAGCCTGGCCTGAAATTTGTCAATTTTACAGATCTTTACAAAGACCCAACTTTTGGTTTTGTTGATATTTTTCTATTTTCAATTTCATTAATTTTTGCTCTGAAGTTTCTTTCTTTTTTTCTGCTTTCTTTGGATTTAATTAGCTATTTTTCTGCTTTCCTAAGGTAGAAACTTATTGATTTTAGATCTTTCCTCTTTTCTAAAAATCTATAAATTTCTCTCTAAGCATTGCTTTCAGTACACTCCCACAAATTCTGATAAGTTGTATTTTCATTATGATTTAGTTCAAAATATTTTTAAATTCCTCTTGAGATGACTTCTTCAACATGTGTTATTGAGAAGTGTGTTGTTTAACCTTCATTAAAAAGATTAAATCCGACCATTAATAGGTGGGGTTTTCCACTTATCTTATCTTTCTGTTATTGATTGCTAGTTTATTTCCATGGTGGTCTGACAGAATACTTCATATGATTTCTGTTCTTTTCTATTTGATAAGGTGTGATTATGGCCAAATACACTTTTGAAATTTTTCTTTAGGCTCTGAGGCTGTCCATTTGTAAGAGGTTTGTAATTTACTGCATTCATGGCATGAGCTCATCAATGATAGGTAGTGATTTATATACACAGACCAGGCACAGAGTGACACTCCAGCTGTCACTCCTAATGCATGACATTGCCATGCTTAAACGAGAGCTGATGCAGTTTCCAATTCTCAAGAAAGGTAGAACAAAATTCTTTTTTCT